AGTTAAGTGGGTCCTTAAAGACCAAAAGTCTAATTTGCAATGAAGTCCCAACAAAAATCAGACACTTCATCGCTACAGAAATGTTAAAACTGCTGCCAGTAGTTCATCAGGATCACAATGGTAACCAAGATTAAGATCACCATGGTAACCCCACACCTGTATTTCTCATTCCTCAACAGCAAACCTAATTAAAAGGCAGACAGAAACAAAGATTAAATCAAATGTTGCATGAAAACTAGGAGAAATATTATTTACAAATATATTTGGATTTTTACAGTTCAAGGGTTCATTGTGTCCTCAAACACCTAAGAAGGAGATGAACGTGTAAAAACCACTGAAGAAGAGGATCAGGACGTCTTAGCTATTTGATGTTAAGCTGAAAACCTAATTTATTGTTTTGAATGGATGAGACTGGGACACCTAAAATTTGATGAATGGTTTTTCAGATTGACTTTTCTGCCCAGAGCGGCGCTGCAAGGCAGCTCGTAAAGCCTCGGCCAGATCTATCATCACAACCATGAATATTAATAAACAGCTCTTCTTTTACATTATTAACATACCATTTCCGCCCAATAACAAAATTTATGATTGCTGAGCGACATGCAGAATTTTAAACCTGCAGCATAAAATTCGCTGGTTGCCATGACAGCGCCACATAAATGGAGAAAAAGGCTCCAGAAATGCCGTCATAAATAAAACACCACAGTTTAAGAGACAGGCTTAATTAGCTTCACTTTGTTGCAATTTAGAACTGCACCGCGGGGTATTAACCCTCGACTAGGATTTTAATTAATTACCTAGGGGCTCGCTGAGCATCTTGGGTTTGTTATTTTTCTCTTTGTTTTATTCTTCCTCTTCAAGGACATTCAGCTCAGTTGTTTTCCCAAAGTGTTTTAGGCTTTTGGGGGTGTTTTTTTTCACCCCACACTGTGTGAACAAGTTCGGTGAAGAGAAATAAACTGAGAGAAAAAAGCTGGAGAACGCTGTGGATCAGGGATGTGATGCTAATGGGATCGCTATCGGAGATGTCTCAAAGTCTAAACAGAATCCTTAAAGGCTGAGAGCCTTCAAAGTAAAAACACGTGAAACTGTTCTCTGATCAGTGACTCTGTACAGATATACTGTGTGTGCTTGGTAAACAAATCACTTTTCATATTCACTCACATTTGCAACATTGCAGGCAAACACGTGGATTCCAATGCTTTGATTGAAAAAACAGAATTCGCTTAAAAAAACAAGCAGCAAGTGAGAATAGAAAAAATCAATCAGAGCTGTCTTTGCCTGTGCTTCAAGTCTAACACAAACAGCAACTAGTCAGATATAAACTAAGCAACTCAAACAGAGCAAGCTGAACATTTCAAAAATTGATTGAATCGTCTGTAATTTAGCTACAATTCCTCTCGCCACCGTGTCGGTGCTACACACAAAGCATCATATTGCAATAAGAGCGACATCTTCTGTGAGCTGCTGAACTCAGCAGTTCATCACAGGGCCAACACACAAGTTATTCATGCTCACGGGGGATAGTTTGCATTTTTTTAAGAGAGTTTATGTGGAAATGTTATGAACAATTAATATCTTACCTGTTGTAGATAACTGTATGGCTTCGCTCTGGAGAAACACATTATTTCTGAGTGAATAAACACACCGACAGCTAACCCATGGAGAAGCTAGCTGCTGTCTAAAAATAACAACTTATATAAAAGCTAGTTTAGAAACCTCGGCATGCTGTGAATTTGACGCTGTGCTGTTATTTAAATGCAAATGTGTCGTTATTTGTAGTAAATGGCAATGTAATGTGACTGACTGCATATTACTGATTTATAAAACAGCTTTCATGTGACATTAAAGGAGTGTTTAACAGGAAACTATTGGTGCCACTGTGGCTCACCATTACCTGGTCATGCATGTTCTCAATGAGGTTGTGCAAAGACCTCAAACAATAATGATAAAATGAGGCATTTCACGTAGTATAGGCATATATTATATGTATATATATATATTTATTATCTTTAAGGGTGTGGAAGATTGAAAAACCATTTTTAATGATTATTTCTGATTAAAATCAGTCACTGTGAGTTTTTCATGCAGGCTGAACATGAAAATAGTCTCCTACACATATCTCCTGCATTTGCTTCTGATTGAAAATAGATGATGAAACTCTAGGATTAGAAAGCCTGACAGATTGTCGCTTAACATTCATGGGCTCACCCATCTTGACATAGGACGGGGAAGTCTGTTTTTGGTTTAGCATCCAAGAATGAGCAGACAACATCCTGACTAGTAAAAGCTAACAGTTAGCATTAGCAACTCCACCACACAGCAGAAGGTCCTCCAGGCTTGTGTCATTTGTGGAGATAAAACATCCACATTGCAAGTCAGTGGTAGAAATGCATTGTTGCTTTCCCAATCTGAGACAAGAAGCCCAAATATCAGGAAATAAGAGTCCAAAACTTGCCGTCCGCTGCCACTATATGCTGCAGCTGACTTGTCTGCACTAATCCAAGCAATTCTGGATTATTTTTGCCTAAAGTACAGCTTGCAAGGTGGTGATAAAAGGCAAAAAGAAACAATTGGTGGGAGATTTAATTACTAATCATCTCAGTGAACTGATTAGTTGCCCTCTTTTGAACTTCTCATTTTTGCAGATGGAGGTACCGCTGAAGACGTTCTGCTAAAGTCAAGCAAAAATGAATCGGAAACATTTCAGCAGCAGGATGACACAGCCATCAGGCACTCCGCCACTTTAAAAGATTAAAAAGTAGCAACGGTGAGCTGGAAACAAAGATGTCGGTGAAAAGAGGACACGTGTTAACACTTTGTGTAATAAATCTCTCTTAACATGGTGGACACCCCTTCTGCCTGCAGAGAGAGGCGCTAAGTCCTGGGCAGGCGTGATGCGATTGTGATATGGAAGATGAAATTAGTGCATCCTTCAGAGAGCACTAGTGATTAAAGCGCTGAGTGTCGAAAACACACACCGAGGACAACATCCCGCTTGCAAGGCATTCATTCCTACCAGAGACCACTGCAAATATATTGATTAAATGAGAAAACCACACCGTTAAAATCAAAAGTCAAAGACAGTCCAACAGCCAAGAAGGGAGGCGTCATCTACAACAGGCTTGAGAGCGATCAACTTTACCACCAAGTTGCCTTTGAGAGAATATTGTTCAGTGGGAGGAAACCAGAGTACCTGCAGAAACCCAGCATGCAAATGGTGGGTCTGAAAGCTTTGTAACGTTGCAGCCCTAATATTTTATTATCATCATAAAAAGAAGGTCCACATGACCCACCACATTTCTTGCCATCATTTTATGTTAGGAAATTATTTAGCCATATCTGTTCAAATAAAACCTTGGAACAATAAATGTTACCAGCAGACAAAAGAAAAATACTCCTTACATTAACATTTCCCACAAATCAGACAAAGTCAGAAGATGTAAAATGAATGAACTATATAAAGCTTTTTTGTTTGTCTGTTTGTTTGTTTGTATGAACATCAGTTCAGACAGCAAAGAAAACCAAACTGTGCAAATTAGTGTCAAACACAGAGGCAGCAAAACACAAAGTGTTGGCAACAATGGCCTGTAACATGAATCACAAAGTCGCAAAATGTAGAGAAAAAAAGCATGTTGATTCATTTCCTTGCCTGATGAAGATAAAACATCAAGACCTGCACAGTTCACACATAAAATTAAATTATTCAGCATACATCCAGAACTAAATCTGCAACAGCTCAGAACAGAAATAGACCAAAATCAAGAAATCCCAACTAGAGCAGTGGAAAAGCCATAAAAATTTCAAAACTTTATAAATTAAAAATAGCTTCAGACGTGTACGTCATGCAATTCACAAGTAATATTCAGGGGGAAAGTAATTTCATATTTTAATAAACATTGGACTCTGTATGAAGATTTAAACCCAAATGTTTTGGATCTGAGGACATGAGGTTATCTGGTGAGGGTAGAGGATGCAGAAGAGATGGGGCTAAATAGAGACAGATGATTGGCTGTGGCAACACCTGGAGAGAAAAGAGGATTTTTAAACTGAGGTTACATATTTAAGGACACATTCAATTAACATCCTCTCATAGTAAAGAAATCAAAATAAATAACTCAATAAAAAAGAAAAAAATATATACAATGAGGAACTAGGACAACACTTTGCTGCCCCCTACTGGAGGAACACTTTGGATTTTTTGTGCTCTTTCACTTCTCCACTTTCATTTTATTACAGCATTTATTTACTTATTAGAACGTCATAATAAATTATTCCTATTTGTTCAGGCATCACTCTCTTGAAGCTCGCCAAGGCTGTCAGGTCAACAATGCTGAAAATGAATTTGTTTCAGAATAAAAGCATGATCTACAGAATGTGCTGTACAAATCTGAAATTTCAGCAGATTACCTGCTCCTGAGTCAGTTATTTTTGGCTTTTTGCATGTTCGGACGCCGAATATATAAAAACTGTGTGTGTGTGTGTGTGTGTGTGTGCGCGTGCGTGCGTGTGTGTGTGTGTGTGTAGAAATAAACACACAACATTCTGCAGAAATTTGTTTTGTTGGTTTAGCTCCAACATCAAACATTTGGATTTTTAAAAAGTATTTAACATAATTAGGTATTGATAAATTAGGTTATTCCCAAATTTAATCATTTCCATTTTTACTTAGTCCTCTGCTGCCTTCAGACAATAAATCACATCTTATGTTAATTTCAGAGCAGTTGGTGAAATAACTTCACTTCAACAGCATCTTGCTACTTTCACTTCATTAAAGTTTAAAAGGTCTCTGCTGGCTGAACAGAGCCAGCGCTGTACCTGTATCAGCTTCCAAGCCTGAAATAAAGACCTCGGATTAATTTTTGATCGTACCTACTCAAAACCAGAGCGAGTGTGATCAATATTGTTTACAGCTGTAGTGACGAGAGAAAAAAAAACAGAATCAATGAGCAAAGCAGGCAAATCTCTTACTGTGGAAAAATCAATTCCCAAAGAGGAAAGCGGTTTGGACTTTTATTTGCTCCATTTTTCATCCTCTGTTTCGTACAGATGGCTCAGAAGAGAAACTGTCGGACAAATGCAGATTATAGACAAAACGCTAAATAAGATTTAAATCAACCTCTAAAATTCAGTTTATCAAATCCAAATGTGTCACAGACCAATGGCTGCACAATAAACTTGAGTTGCTGCAACAACCGAAACAACAGATCGACTGTTACCTTTAATTAAATCGTATTTTCAAAGCAATGATCTAGAAACTCCTTTTATGTAGACACTGCAGCAGAACAAAGTCGGGAATGTTTTCATCCCAAACACCTTTGCCAGTTCTTACAAACCCACATTTGACAAAAATAATCATTTTAAAGATAAAAAAAAAAGTATTTTGGGTTTTGCCATTTTCCTGATTAAACATCCTGTTCAACCCCCAGGGCTGGTGTCCTAAACTGCAAAACAAAAATAGCCTGCATTATGGCCCTGAACAAAGCCCTTTGTACTCACCATGTTGAAACAGAAATACATGAACAAAAAGCTCCTGCAGGACAGCAGTCATAATCCTAAAGGACTTTTATTTAAACTTTACTCATTTTATTTTTAGAGCACTAATTCACAACAAAAACCATCTCAGAGATTTCTGCATTAAATAAAGTCCAAGTCAAATCCAGCTCTTTTAATCCAGCTCATTCAATGGTCAGATTAAAATTCAGTTCAGATACAATCATTCAAATTCAGATACATTCCACATTTATCCATAATCTCAGTCTAATTAGATTCATTAAATCGGTCATCATTACAAAAACCCAAGAAGTCCAATTTTTATTTCATCCAAAATGTTATAAATTTGTACCAATGATCATTAATAATAATCAACGTCTCAGATGATCCAAATATAAAGAAAAAAAACCACTCATCACAATAATAAAAAATATGAGGCTTAGTATTTCCTACTACTGCTGCGTTTAATATCTGCTGCCTTTACTCCACGAGAGTGAGACGCACCGTTAACACTGATCTGGCTGTAAACAGAACATGTCCTGTTCACAAAATACTTCAACTCATCTTCTGCCCAACAGCATCTCACTGGGCTGCGGCTGTCGGGCGTGTGCATTTGTACGTCTCCAGCGAGCCCAGTAAGTCTCTGATGTGCATGATGATGGAGTCCCTCAAGAGGAACAATTAGTAACCTGCAGCAGGTTGAACATGAAAAATCTAACCTCTAGAACACCATAAAAAGCCACTTTAACCACTTGCATGTAAATGATAAACATTTTGATATAAAAGAACATAAACATCATCATCCACTTTACAGAAAAGAACATCTTTGTTATTTTGAAGTATCGAATATATTAGCTGCTGTTTAATATTTCAATTGTAACCAACATGGCCACCTTCTAGAGCGCAGCTTTGTTGTTCTAATGGAAACAAGACCTATGTTTTATTTGGCAAATATTTCCTAGTTCAGCTTCAAGTTCTCCTAAAAAGGATGGAAATAACTTGAGATGTGGCCTATTGAAGTCAGGTTTCCATCAAGTGCCTGTTGAGTATGTGTCAGTTATAAAGACTAGAAATGCTCTCTCATAGGGATTAAAGCAGCTTTTTAACATAATTCAAAATTTATACAATAAAATTTTTTATTTTGTGCTATAAAGCCAGCTGATCCAGATTTCTCAGTCCTTAAAACAGATTTCCTACTCCTGTATTTAAGAATTAGTCTCTAGAGCTACATTGAAAAGACCAAGCAGCAGATAAACCAGGCTAAAGGCAGCAGAAAGCATTGTTGTGTGATCTGTTAATAATGGGCATTTGAACAGACGCATAAGACATAAGATAATGTTTTAAAGCTTTTTAGTCTCAAGAATAAATTCATGTTTTACAGTTATTTTAATGTGGGGTTTTACCTAATTGTAATTAATATTTTATTTTTAATGCGGCAAAAATACATTATGTTACTTTCTATTCATAAAAATTAGAGATGCACCAATTTTCTCAGCTGGTTTCTGTTTGATTTCCCCTTTTTCGGACTTAAAAAAGGGGGGAAAAAACCAGGGTGAACATCACAGACGATTTTGATGCTGTGATTCAGATTTTAGTTTAATCAATACAGTTTTAGAATATCTTAAAATAAAACATTTGAATCGAATGATTCACAAAAAGACCAAGAAAAGTTCCAGTCCTGTAAACTCGTAGCAGTAGCTGCTAATTTCCACCTGCAGCAGTCAGAATAGACTTTTTTTCCCTTCTCTTTGTGTTTGAGTAATAAATGAGCGTCACCAGGAATAAAACAACTGTTCAGAATGCCTCAGCCTTATAGAACCAAAGCCTGTCTTCTTTAACATCTTTGATGTAAAAATATATCTATCTAAATGTTTGGAAACAACAAAAAGACCATTTCAACCTCTTATCCTGCTCAACATGAACCAGTGACACCAGCTTCCTTTCTCATTGGTATCTGCAAATATTCACAAATATTACTGAACCCTTGACAAGCCAGCTATTTTTTATCGTTAGACCGAACTTTTCTTTTTCACCCCCAATCATCAGATGGTACGCAATCTGATTAGAGCTGGTCCAAATGGGGACACGTTATTTGTCCAGTAAAGTAAAGACCTTTGTGAAGATTTAAAGTGATGTTACACAAAAGCTGCTATAAACCTGCGGGGTCCAATCCTGGTCCTCAAGCGCTGCTATCATGTTTTTGCAGTTTCCTGGTTCAGACACACCTGACAGAGCAGATGTAGAACTTCCCCATGCTGTACAGAAGCCTGCTAAAGGTAGTCACAAACAAAGTCGGCTGGTGCATCTCTAATAGATATGGGAACCTGCTAAACTTAAAAGATTAGTGCTTTGACCTTTTTAGTCTGAGGAGGATCTGCCAGACAGATTAACACAGACCCGACTGCTGTTGGGTCGTTTAAATCCCTTTTGCTTGTGTGCAGAAGGCAGAGGGGACTGTCCAGAACAAGAGCTACTCAAATATGGAAAAGGTCAGCTAAAAATAAGGAGTTGCTTAATGTCCCCGTCTTGACCCTGAGCCGAGGGGAGCAGAGCACGGCGAGTTAAATATAAAACCTGGTGGTTTTCTGTGTCTCGCCTCTGCAGCACTTCACTGCTCCATTTCCATGTCAGTGCAGCATTGTTGCTCTCCTCTTATCCACAAACCTCAGGAGAAGGAGAGAGAGAGAGGAGGCTCCAGATGGGAATGAAGCTGAATAAATACAGTAGTGTATCATTACACACAGGAAAAAGTCCTGCTTCATTGTGCCAACCCAGAGAAATGGCACTGAACACCATCCTCTTCTCTAGGTCATAAAAAGGTCGACGTTTGATTTGAATCCTTAAATAATCAAGTTTTTAAAAATGTGACTCAAAAAAAGCACATCTGATCATAAAACACATCCCTTTGTGCTCTCTCCCAAGAGTCTTTTTAGATTTAGTACCATGGCAACATCCTCAGTGGACTTCCTTTTTTTTTTTAACAATGTTTGGTAGAACTTGGTGCTGAAGGTCCACAAGTCCTCGTCAAAAGGTCCAAAACTGCTCCCTGCAGTCCGCGGGGATGTTACATCCTGTTAGTACTTATTAATCCCAAAGATCCTGACACCGTGCAGCTGTGGTAGTTTGGGGATGAGCACGGTGATCAAGGACACTGTGTTGACCACAAAGTGGACTCTGTCGTATTTGGTGTAGAAGCTGGTTAATATGTACCTGAATCAGAAAGAGAAAAAGACTTCTGTTCAATCAGACAGCATGTCTCTAATTGGCACATCCCCGTGGAATGTGCATCAGCCAAACAAACAAACAAACAAAAAAAAAAACTGTTCTAAAAACTCCTTTAATATAAATTTCTAAACATTTTTTTCTTGCTTTTGCAAACAGATGTTCTAAATATTTCACAAGTAATAGCTTCAGATCTTTACCTGCCCATCTCTGTGTGGGAACTAGGTTGTGATTGGGCCCCAGAAAGCACTTCTGGATTCTGTTCCACCTGATTTCACTTAAATAAGTGGTTGATTCTTCCCGCAGACAGCAATTAGACCGAACCACGACCCGGCTGAACTCTGGATCTGGGGAGTCACGTTCTTCCACGTCTCCTTTAATTTAGCCTTTGGTTCAGATCTTCATACGTTTTTCTACTTAGTGATACCTTCACACACTTTAGTCCATTGGGTCTCCTGTCCAGACTATGGTGCCACTCATTCTTAATGAATGAATGCATGAACCACATCCTCCAGGTGCTGTTGTGTTAAACAGCTTGTATGAGTCGTGGTTCTGTCTCGCTGGAATATGAAGTCATTGGGATGAAAACGGCGACAGTCAAGTTTAAATGAGGTCAAATGAAAGCTAGAGCTGCATCTTATTAGCTTGACAATCATTCCATGCGTGAATATATAGTCTGGCCACAACCCATAGACAGAGCTCGGTCATGGGGCAGAATCTACGATTGTCTTTCAAACCGTCGCTGCAGGCAACTGGACGGCGCTAGGACCCATCAGAGCAATGAACATGACATAGTAGTTGCTATGGAATCACTCAACGGGGCAGTCCACCATACACCGTTCTTTTTTTAAATAAAGGACTCAAGTTCTTCCAACCGCTCACCTATTAAAGAAAAACTGAAGTCTGAGTTGTCCAAAGTTGACAACAAAGCTGTTTTTAATGAGCACCATAATTTACCTGCCGCCATTTTTGTAGTTTTGCTCCTTTGCAGCAGTGCTGTTGTAATGGCCCTAAGCCTGTCCAACGCCTCTCTACAAACTTGAAGCCTGCTTCACACTGGAAGTGTCAGCAGAACAACAGTGGAACATTGCTGCTTCAAATAGAACCCAGTCTGTAGCGCTGATCCAAACCGGCTGTAGTGCGGAAAATTTCAAGTGCGTCCCAGAAGTAGCACGACGCTCTGCTAAAGATAGGATTGGGTTCTATATTATCTGTGAGCCACTTCAGGGACATTTCAGTTTCCACAGTTACACACGGTTTTGGTGTAAAATGTCTGGTAATTTTCAAAATAAAAGACTATTGCAGCAATGCAATTTGATATCTGTGTAGATTACATCAATACATACTGTATGACCTAACGGCTTATTTATTCCCAGCATCTCAAGTGATGTAACGGTGTGTTTTTCAAGGCTTTAATCCTGGTAGTGGAGAGGAACAACATTAAATATGACATACCTCTTGTATGTTGATTTTATTTCCCTGTTTTCATTGGTTCACTCTATCCCTTGTTTTACCCATTTGTCTTCTACTAGAATGTTTTACCTTTTTTGTAATTTGTAATTTGAATTGCTTTTATTTTCGATTTATTCACCATATTTAACTTTCTCTTGTACCATGTTCAGCGCCTTGGGCTTCCCGATAGGGTTGCAGAAGGCGCTTTATAAAAAAAGCTTTGATTTGATTGATTGATCAAACAAGGGGTTGTATCAACTAGTCGACTTCACTGCTCTGTAGTGACTTTTTATGCCTGTCATCAACTAGTCGCTGTCACGTGATAATGACCGACAAGATGCGGTCCTCGGAAAAGACAGCAGGTGACAAGCCCCTGCACGTTGGGAGGCGATGCGCTGTGCCAGAGCGTCTGTATCTGACACCCGCTGTAAAACGAACATTTGACTGAATTGGGACGTTAACCCTCTTGCAACTTAACCTTCCCCTCACCCCCATCCTAACCTTAACCAGCTTGCGCATGCAAAGCTCTGATAGTTGACGCGCTCCAGACATCTGCGTCCTGAGCACGACCACAGTAACATTATCAAATTAGGTGTCGCCACCTCAAAAACAAATTTAACGTGAGATTGTTCATGTCAGCTCATTTCCTTTTATGTTTTCTGCCTTTTATTTGTGCGTGATGCGTTTTGCTGCTGTGGAGCGGAGCGCATCACCTGTTTTCTCCTCTGGTGACGCACCTCACCGGTGCGGCCGGCACGCAGCGCGCACTCTGCTGCTTTTGCGGTTGGTATCTTTTAGAATTGCAGTTCAAAGGTAACTCATAAGGTGCAGGGTTTCCCCCAGAAAATGAGTAAAGCCTGGCGGCTTTTTGAAGTATCCACCCCCCACCCCACCCCACCACCCCCCCCCACTCCTCTTTGAGAGCGGGGGTGGGGGGGATGCACACGTTCCGCTGCTGTTTCTCACCAGTATCAGCTGATGGAGAGCTCTAGTTTCGTTGCGCCGTTGGTGTCAGCGGACACTGTAGGGTCGGGGAGGGGGGCGGGGCATGACGCTTAGCCTAGCGGGTGGGCAAGCAAAGCCTGGTGGGCCGCCAGGCTTATAAAGCCCTGGGGGAAACCCTGAATATGAAGCCAGGTAGCAGTTTTTCTTTAGGATTGAGAAGAGATGTAGGAAGATAATAAACAGAGACAGGACAGAAAAATAGTCAAAGAAAAAAATTTTCGTTATTGTATCTGGTGGTTGCGACAAACAGACACCATTGAAGGTAATCTGAAGTGAGGAACAGAAAATGAAATAATTATTTTAATGTTCAGAGCAGCAGAAACTCAGAGTTGCTGCAGGCGCATCAGTGAGTTTGCGGCCGCTGTGCAGGGGAAGGAGGGAGAGAGCTGAAGCAGGGAACAGTAAAGATGCAGAAACTACTGTTGTTAAAAGAGATGTGTTTAGCTTAGAAAATGTGGGCACAACTTTAACTGTCAAAAACTCCAGCGACCCCCGACGTGTATGACGTCATCAACGACTAGTCGAAGTTGACTCGATTTTCATTACTTGACGGTCGACTTTAAAAAAAATTATGTCACGCAGCCCCTACATCAAACATGATCCTTCTTCCTTTTGGTTTAATGGTGGATGGCATAAACAAACTGTGACCTTTGAAGTCTCGAGGGATCCTGTTATCTCGCAACTCTGACCAGGAGGATGGTGGAGAAGCTGCTCTGCGGCTGAGACTCAATCAGTGTTGACTGGCACGCAACGAATCATGCAAGTAATCTATTCTACTGCTGTTAAGCACTGCTGATGCCTCCTGTGCAAAGGAGACATAGGAGCACTGCGGCTGGCTGAGCCCAAAGCAGTTAGATCCAATGGTAGACCTGCTGATGCTACAGAGAAACATAGCTAGACCTACCTGCTACTGCTACCATTTGTTTAGATTTCTAGGCTAACATTTTGTCACTCAAATCACAAATTTGATCAATGACAAGCAAATATATGAAACCAGAGTTCCAGGAAATGTTTAGAACATGTCTATGGTCAAACAAGATAATTTTCATTAACCCTCCCACTGTTCTAATGAGTGTGACCCCGTGAGGAAAGTGTACCATTGAGCAGGGTTGATGGTTTATCCCTTGGATCCATGTGGCAGGGGTGAGGAGTGAGCACCACCTCACCCCTGTCACGTGGATCCAAGGGATAAACCATCAACCCTGCTCAATGGTACACTTTCCTCGCGGGGTCACCCATAAAGACAGTGGTAGGGTTAAATTCCAAAAGGTTTTTAAACTAATTATAAAATCTTCACATTTTCCCACAAACTACATGATGTTAGATTGTGAAGACTTCATATTCTAATCAAAAACTCTTGAAAAAAGACATTTAACACCCTCGTTTCTAATTACCAATGAAACAGATTTTATGCATTCCCCTCAGAATAAACAAACTTGAAACCTTCCAATTTTCACCTTTTCTTCATTTACAGAACATGAATGTTAAGTGGCTTCAATAACAAACTCAAACACGGTTGTGCTGTGTTGACGTGTTGGACTTTTATGAGTATGAATAGATCAGATGAACATATAAAGAGAAAAAAATAACTCTCTGCAGGTGCTCCTTTACTCCAAATAGAACTTAAAGAACAATTCCTGCTGGCACTGGTTGCAAAACAAAATGACAAATGCTGAAGAAACAAAATGTACACCTGCAAAACTGCTCTCATTACAGTATTCCTGCTGAGCTGGCAAATCAGCCCCAGGGAACCAAAGTACCTCCTGTAAACTGAACTCTGATGGTAATGAGGAGAATGGGCCAGGAAGACAGTAAGAGGCACTCCTGCTCAGGATAAGCCCTTTACCAATTGGGGGGCTTGGATAATAAGGGCAAAGCAAGACCTGAAATGTGCCAACTGGCTTCATGAACGCAAAACTAGGAGCTGCTATATTTGCACGTTGTAGTGGCAACTTTAAACTAGGATTTATTCTAGTTTCTACCTCCACTTCATATTTCTGAAGCATGGCGCTCCTGCCTCAGGGAGCATTTCTTTACATGAATGTGTAGCTGTGACTCATTTCCACCAACCAGGCTACTTACAGAACAATAGGTGTGATGGTGAGGAACTTGCGTGAAGCAGTGAACTGCACGCCGTAGTCCATCTGCTCCCAGTGCGTCAGGAGGCGAGCCTTGCCCTGATCCGGGGTCTCAAAGGGCGTTCCTTTGACCGTGTGTAGCAGAAGGTACATGCACTGGAAAAGGACAAAAACAATGAGGAAATCAGATGAAAATGCATGTCTTTCTGCAGGGAAGCAAAACAGTCCCGTTTGGATAGGGATAAGGACTCTTGACTCATGGATTAAACCTAAAAATAGACACATTTATGAGATTAAGAGCACTTTGGAACTGAATGGGGAAATACCAGATGATCTAATTCTGAAGGATTTCGTGCCCTTACGTATTCACAAAGAACATGGCAAATAAATCACAGCCAAACAATGGATATCACCTCTGACTTCACTTAACCCAAAGCCTCCAACTAAACCAGACCTACTGCAGATTAAACCGGTCACTAAGACTACTGCTTCACTGACCAGATTATGGATGAGATTGGTGAGAGTCCAGACTACAGGTACGCTGACAAAGGGGATGCTAAGAAGGATGATGTGAAGGAGACCGATCCCCAGGATGTAGGATAGCCACATCCCCCTGCTGTTCATCACCCTGGTGTTGGGGTTCACCTCGCTGTGCGCCGTACCCACATTCATGATGCAGGGAGGGGGTAGAAGTCAGTCAGCTGAAACAGAAGAGACAAATAACTATTTGGGTTTGAAAGTCTAAAAACCCTCAGCCTTTAATTTCAGATGTAAAGTCAACTTTGGGTTTTTAAGGCAGTAGGTCCCAGCCAGCCTGATGCTACAGGCATACGTAAACACCTGTCAGCCAATCAGAAGAGTTTGCACATAAAACAGGGCATGTGTCGGAGAGTTTAACTTCTTACGTGAAAATAAACAAGCTCATTCATGCATTTTGTCTGACTAAACCTGAACAAGGGTTAATGTTTAGCCCACAGGAGCTAGAAGTGTTATCATGCATGCTAGTTTGTGTTGAGTAAACATGATTTATACTCACGGGGGAGGAAAACGGGCTGAACTACGACCTGTGCGGGGACACCAGTCCGTTATCACAGTTTTTGTGTAACCGCTGTGCTCCGTTATGTAACTGAGAGGCTCACAGGGCGACGCTCCGGTGTTCGCATCAGTCACCCGGTACCACCTCTCACCTCCGGACAGGTTTCCAAGTTACCGTCCGCTCGGAAAGGCAGCAAACATCGTCACTCGTCCACTCCGATTTCGTCTTTAACCACCAGCTGCTAACAACACGGCGCAGTCCACAGAGAAACGTCATATATATTGACTTTAACGGCCACGCACTTGAGCTGAGGTTTTGCTCGTCGCACTTTGCGATGATTGGTTGCGCTCTGTCACGTGGTCTGAACTGACCTATCACCGGTTGATGCAATGAGAGAACGTGGACTACGCCCCCCAATGACGCAACAGAAGAGGCGGGGTTAACGAGCTTGGTTGACAACCAAAGGCTTTTATTAATAACAGCAAACGTTCTTGAATTATTTACATGAATGTAAATAAACTGTTTAATAATTCGGGTTCATCTAATTATCTAGAATATTCTGTATGTAACTAAATATGGCTGCTGCCTTACAGCGAGAAGGTCCTGGGTTCACTTCCCGGCCTGTGATCTTTCTGCATGGAGTTAGCATGTTTTTCCTGTGCATGCGTGGGTTCTCTCCGGGAACTCCGGCTCCCACAGTCCAAAAACATGACTGTTAGGTTAATTGGTCTGTCTAAATTGTCCGTGTGTGTGTGTGTGTGTGTGTGCGCGCGTGTGTGCGTGCGTGCGTGCGTGTGTGTGTGTGTGTGTGTGTGTGGTTGTTTGTCCTGTGTGTCTCTGTGTTGCCCTGTGATGGAATAGCTCTCTGTCCAGGATGTACCTGGAGACGGTCAGAGCCCCCCACCCCCGCGTCCCTACATGGACAAGCGGGTTCAGAAAAAGGATGGATGGATGGTATCTAAATATTTGAAGATATTCCTCATATCTGCATATTGTCGCTGTCGAAAATGCTAAATCTTTAAGTGCTCTGGAAGAGTAATTATCTGGGTTTTCAGGGAGCCTTTTTTCCCCCCAGTTATTGTCATTCCAGTCCTTGAGTCTGAACATTTTAGGAAATTAAACTGAAAATCTGAACGCTTTCCAGAAGATAGATATTGCTCAATGCTTAAAAAAGAAACAATAAAACATGCCAGTACAGAATGCTATGTTGCAGTCTAAGATAAAACTGCTCAGGGTAAAGTCAAAGTCTAGTAGTGAAAACATTTAAGGAGGATAAAAAATGTTAAAGGGTAGAATAAAAGTTCTTAATGCTGGAAAATAATTCTGTGTAATAAATGAGAAAAGATAAAATAGGATGAGAAGTTGTTTGCTATGTCATTTATATAAAATATAACAAAAAAATAAGACTTTTCAGAAAACAAAGTTTTTTTTTGTTTTACATATTTTCTTTTAAGTAAATTCCAAGGAGTGGAGAGAGAGGCTGATGACCTTTTCAGCCATTTCAATTGGGTCTTCTCAGGTATTAGGAATTTGCCTAACTACTCTCAACACTTCAGATGTTCTACCAAAAACCGATGACCCCAGTAGCTTTTATAGCACCCCAATAAAAAAATGGTGGGAACCTCAAGGGGAAAAAGGCTCCCTGCTGAGATTTCTTGGCATGTTGTGATGAGTTTGGGAGAGATCCTTGATGACGTGGACACACAAAAAGATGGTTGATTATAGGAGGGTGTTGGTATGTGTAGCCAGGGTTTTAACATCCACAATCAGCTCTTTAATTTTTTTGACAGTAAAAGGCAGAACGGTATGACCATTTTTATGTCACGCTAAGTGATATCCTAAGGGACTTGAATATTTATTCAAGAATACGTGGCTGAATCTATGATTTACTCTGGAAGAGGTCTCAGGGAGTCAAGAACAACAACATGTCTTCATCCCTCACGCTGAGCATTGGCACCCCACAAGGCTGTGTCTCATCACCCTAGCTGTTTTCAATATACACCAACCAGCTAAAAGCGTGCAGTACATCGGTAGGGATCTATAAGTACGCCGACAACACAACCACTGTGGGCTTCATTCAGAACAGCAATGAACTTAAATAAAGCTTGCAGATCCACAAAGCAGTCGACTGGTGCATGGATCACAATTGCATACTAAACGCAATTATAGAGAACTCTTCATCGACATGAGACATCAGCCACATAGTAAAGTTCCAGTCCTTATCAGTGACAAGCCAATAAACATCACTGACATTTAAGCTTCTCGGAACGCACATCACTAACAACTTGAAGTAGAAAATCAACTGACATAATTTATAAGAAGGCACAGCAAAACTCTTTCATCTGTGGCAGCTAAAGAAATTTAGCGTAAGGCCACACATATGATGCTTTTATCTGGCTATTGTTGAAAGCACCCTTACCTCATCTATCACTGTTCAGAGGACTAGACTGCACCTAGAAGCACATTATCAATAGAGCGGAAACCATGATCAACTCACTGCTACAATCGTTCTAGGACATTCACTGCAGTAGGACATTACGCAGAGCTCACAGGATTACTACTGCATCCCATCCTGCATTCACCATCTTTCACCTATTTCATTCTCAGAGGCGATACAGGGCAATAGCATCAAAAACATTGTTTCAAAAACAACGTTTTCCCCACTGTAGTCAACCTATTGAACAACATCCACTGATACCTCTGAACACTTAATGCTGACATGTACTGATTATTATTATTTATTATTATAATTATTTTTTCTGTTTTGCCATATGCTGTAATGTGTTGTGTTAGCTGTTCTATTATCTGTATGTCTGTGTATTGACTTGCCTATGTGCATTTTTCTATGGAAAAAATTATGTTTATTAATTCTTGATCATTGACTCAATCAACTGAATGTAAATGTATTGCTCTATGCCTCTTTGATCATGCTCACTCATTCAGACACACCCACACAAGCCACACACACACACACACACACACACACACACACACACATTCTTGACACCCCCCCCCCTCCCCCCCCCCCACACACACACACACACACACAATCTCTCTCTCTCTCTCCCTCTCACTCCCCCTCTCTATAAATAAACTCTGTGACCGGATGTTCGGTGCATTATGCTTTGTGCATCTTGCCACAGTTATAACTGGCTGACTTGCCTGATCATTGTCTCTTTCTCTCTTCACTATAGGAAATGGGTTATTGATAAACATATTGATAAAATCCACAACATTATTTGGTTCTTTGAAAGCCAGGGTCCCATCACCTTGCAGCGCCAAGAGCCGACGCCAGAGGATTGTCGACAACCTAAATCTCCTCCAGCACTGAGTTTGCTGGGGGGTCGGTGAGGTCTTGATGTTGTTAGGAGGAATGCGGATCCACGAACTCAAGCCCTGAGAGGAGAGATTTGGTGAGACAAGTTGTTGTTGTCGCTCTGTCTTGTGGTACCGAAAATCCTAGGTGACCAGAGGTTAAATTGGTTTTTTTAGCGTTTTATCCGGAAAATATAAACGCGGACAGATTCCAGGAATGCTGCATTGGCTTGTGTTTTTGAGCGTTTTTGCCGAATTATAAACGCAACTCTGGTGTGGTGAAGTTATAAATGAATGGACCGGTGTGATAACTAAGAGGTTAAATTGGTTTTGGGGCGTTTTGACCTGAACTTTGATTCGACCTGGCCTTTGAGCGTTTTTGTCTTGATTAGAAACGCAACTCTATAGTTATCTGTGTTGTTGTTTGTTGTCTTAGATGTTGTCTGCTTTCAGTGTTGTTCGAATGATTGAGAGAGTGTATGCACTTGCTTATTCATCTGGAAAGAAGGATATGGCAAATCATTTGCACATGTTTCAAGTTGGTGGTCAGATTTTTAAACTGGTTGGCTGATAAGGGAGTCCCGCTGTGTTAGAGACACAGTTGGAGGGCAGATTCGTGAGCCCAAATCTGACCTCATGCCGAACAAGAGACGGTGTGGTGTCTATATGGGGGAAATAAGAACTCACAAAATACCTTTTGAGTAAATATGGATGAAAATGTAGATCCAGGAAATGTGGAACTGGTCTGAAATTATCAGAGAGTTGATGGAAAACGTGATTTTGATAACCGCTGACGTGTCACAAATGTATTATGCTTGCGAGGAAGCACAGAGCGGTGGAGAGAAAAAAAGGGCTGAAGTTGTGAAACAGAGAGAGAGCACAGCGAGGCTCAAACAAAAGAAGAGAAATGACCCAAACAACGGTTGCTGTGTTCTGAGCTACCATGTTCAATTGTGGCCTGATGGTTATAACTAGGAAATACAGATGAAAAATATAATTTGAACAGGTTCTCAAAATTGTGATTTACTTATTTGTTTTTGCTATTAAGCACAGCTGTTGAGTACTTTATTGCATGGAGACCCTCTGTGTGGACTTCAGTAAGTCTAGCTAACATATTTCATGTTCAGAATGTACGCTGTCCACTGAGGTGAACACGCAATAAATTATTTGCAAATTATTAAATGTTACAAACAATATTTCTTGAAATTTGTTTCTGTCATGGTCTGCGTCTGTGCCTTCCTTCATGTGCCTCCTGGTGTTTCTCCATCCTCTCTAGATTCCCTTCTGTGTCCTAGCGCCCTCATGTGTCATGTCTGCGTCTTCCTCATGTGTCTTCTGGTTTTCCCCATTTGCCCCTAGATCTCCAGCCCTCTAGGTTGCTCAAGTAATTTCCTTTAGTTACAGCCTTTCATGATTTAGTATGTTTTTTCCCATCAGTGTTTATTATTTTTCTCCCCCCTCCCTTTGAATTGTAGTTATGTTTCCTGCTCTTTTGTATTAGGTTTTATTCTTAGGTCAAGTTAGTTTCTCCCTGATTAGTCATTGCCTTCACCTGGTCTTCCTCCCACACCCCACACACCTGCAGCTCATCTCCCTCACATCCTCCCTGTGTATTTAAGCCCTGTCTTGTCTCAGTGTCTTGTCGGTGGGGGGAGAAATGGTAGAACATGTTTTGTGTGGCTGCATGAAATATGAGGGAAGTAGAGGTCAACTCAGGGAGAAATTAAGAGACATAGGGGGTGGAGTGAAGACTGTAAGGAATTTGTTAAATGGTGGAGAAAGGATTTATAAGTTGGTTGTTGGGTTTCTAAAGCACTGTGGTCTGTTGCATAGAATTTAGGTTTTTTTTTTCTCGCTCTTACTCCGACTCACACTCCAGCACTGTAGGTGGCAGAAATGCACCTAGTAGTTAGATGCCACCCGCCATTAAACTTGAAGAAGAAGAAGTGTCTTGTTGGTCTATTGTTGGTATTCTGTCAGTCTCTTGTTCCTAGTCTCTAGTATTTTCTCATGTCTCAGTTGGATCTCTGGTTTATTTTGGATTTTGGACATTTTTGGACTCTGGATCTCTGCCCTGGATTTATTCTTCGTTTCTCCCTTCAACAATAAAGGATTTTACTTTACATCATCTCCTGCCTCGTGTCA